ATTCCTGACACTGGAATTGTTTTTTGCTAATCTGACTACAAATATACTTTCTTGTCACGTACATGATGAATCTAAACTAAATAAATTACTTTTGAAATGGACATTATGAGATCAGCGAACGTCTGAAGGGTTTAATGCGAAAGACGTTGTCCTCATCACTGTATAATGAATGAGCTCAGAAACAAATTTTGACCTGATATTATCTGTACATTACAAATAACTACCAATGAGTGGGTTTCTAAGGGTTATAGGATTTCAAACTGCATGAGGAAGTTTGGTCGAAAGATCAATTTGCATAATTGAGTATCAAGACGTCAAAATAATTTCAGGGACTAGGGTCAGCTGAAATATCTGCAAACATGAGTCTTGTTTATCCAATGTTTTCAGGACAGTGTTAATGAAATAGCTCGATTTCTACTCTTTCGATTTGGTCAATTGACATGAACAGAACCTCGTCCTTTAGGCTCATATTTGCCTATAGAGATTCAAACAATTTTTATGACTTCCTGCCCGTTCATTACGATGTGGATGAAGTCAACGTTTTATCAGTAATAGTCTCCAACTGTTTTGTACACGGTGAGAAATAGTTGACCTGAGAAGGTCCCAACAAGAGTTCGCGGTTTGAGTGTGTAATATGTACAGCAGATCGAGAGTTAGAGATAGTTACAGCAGTTGAATTTCAGGTATTAAAATAGATCAGAAAGTGTTCTGCCTTCGGTCCGCAATCTTAGTGAATCTTATTCATCTATACGGTCCAATCCCATGTTCAAGAAGAATTAGTCTCACCTTAAACTTGCCAAAGCTGCCCATCAGACTGTACTTCCACCCAAGGACGGTCGATAATATCGACAGAAGATTTCGTGCTCTTCAAACAAGTCGCAATCTGTGGTCTTCTTGCAAAGCATAATCAACAAAGGCGTTGACGGCATCAGTACTGGTTAGTTTACTAACTTTCTCGTAATTTTTTGCATCATAAATTCGAGCTCTAGGTCAAATAGTGAATCATAGCGGCAAAAGGATATCGGCTGATCCATCAATCAGGGGAAAAGGAAAGGCAAGAGTGTCCCAGGCTGATACATCTATCAAAAGTTCAATGTCCCTGTAGTGAGCGGTTATGCTTCATCACCTATCCTGATTTGAACGTCTTTCGTCATCAATAATCAGACTGCTGCATCACACACATTCAGACCAAAATGTCTCACTATGGCAGATCATAATCAGACAGCTGCATGACTCGACTGCACAACGATCTAAAACCGCACTTGCAAATTCTTCTCACAGAGATTGCTTTTGCTGAGAAAAGATTCCACCATCCCCAATGGGATCTAGGGAATGTATTGGGCCCTAGCCCCATGTTACCCGTTTGGTTTCGTAACTCTCCAGATTCATCCCTACATGGGCTCTCACAAATCTTTCCTATATATTGCAGCATACTTAGAATAGAGGACCTAGCGTGTCAACGGCCACGCAAATATGCCGGGTTTAACTGTGACGTCTGCATCATCGTGTGCATGAATTTTTTCTCGGATCAGGACATGTTGTAGCATTATATGGGGTACCCCTTATGACCGTTATACAAATCAGCACTGTGCTAAAGCAGTGGGTTGACTTTTGATCAGGGCCAATCATGAACTCATGCAATCAAGGTACTCAGTTATTACCGAATGGTAAGAGTCTATTGTGTGTGGGGATTTATCTGTTCGACCTGGACCTCAAACGTTTTGGAAAAAGTCCACCACTGCCCCGAAGAATGTGTGGTACTCGATCACATATGGACGTGTCATGGCCTTTCTGACAATCCCAGAACTCCATTTTCGGGAATATTTATCGCTATTCCCATTCCAGCATAAAGATCATCATCACCAGCTGCCAGTTTGAAATTTACTCGGCGTTTCCGTCTGATCATTATCTGTAGCGAGGGATTGCTGCTTGAAGTTCATGCAGGTCATGGCGTGTGCACCACAGCTGCGGCTGCGCGTGCTCAAATCCGATCACTCCATCACGTTGCTTTTAGTTCTCGGCGTGAAGATGATGAGCGCACGCGGATCATGATCAGTGTTCCAGAAATTCTCTGACCTCATAGATTCACCCCAAACCAGAGGATCACACGTATCGTCTGTCTATCTGTCTATCTGTCTATCAGACTTGCTCGCCTTTTCTGTATAGACCATGACAGCATAGGTATCTCACGGAAGTGAACCCAGTGATCTTACGACAGAAGTACCCGCTCAGGCCATGAAAGTGAAGGAATATATATGATCAGTGCATTTGTATATGTTCTGTTTTGAGTAAATTCCATCTTCATTTCCACCAGCAAAACAGAGGAACATGGAAGCAATGGGACTTGAACATGGATGGGAACACGACATTACGCCAAGACAAGAGTGAAAGATTGGAGTGAAAAGTCATATCCGTTGACTATAAGAGACCGCTTATTTGTCAACTCCCGGTCTCTAACCACATGTTTTTGGAGAAGAGGGAATTGCTGCAGAGAGTGGACGCCAAGATCCACACACTGCGTAATAAGGGCCGATCTATGGATGGAGAAAAGTGGCAGACAAAATCCTCATTCCTTCGCAGCCACAGTTATGTTATCATTCCAATCAAACACTTGTGAAGTAGAGATCCTATGGTGGACCTGTGAGACGGAGGTCAACCTATTAGATTTACATTAAATCCTTGGATCAGGGGCTTTTGGTGGTGAATATCAATATCCTACAGGTCGAAAAGGGCGCCCTATTTAGAAACGTATTCAGGTAAAAACATATCTATAAATATGTGCAAGGTCTGAACAAAAGCGTTTAAACGTAAACTTTCTTTGATTCTCAAAAAATAATGACTGGACTGAAGTTAAGTTTTTCTACGAAGCTATACAGTTCAGAAAAACCAAGTTTGTAAAAAAAATATTTCTCCGCCCCTCAACATATGATTACGCAAAGATCTTGATTGCAAAAAATTATTCCGATTATCTCACTGATGTTAAAAAACATTTATTCCTTTTTAGTAAGGCAATAGTGAGGAGGACTCGCGAAAACATAGGTTCATGTCTATCGGTAATTCAAAATAAATATATTTCTTAGTAACGGAAATTAAAATTGAACAGTTTAATATATTTATAAAAAAATTCAGTTTCTGCGGTAGAGATTTCCTACCATGCAAATTAACAAATTGTAACTTACGCGGATCTTTGGGTTTTTTTTACTCATAATGCTGTAAATGCTTTGTAATATTATTTATATATATATAATGCTCTTAGTACTTTCGTAAGTTCTAGATGTCATGCGGATCACAAAAGATGTGTATCAGGCTTTCTACACAAAAACTGTAAAAGTTTTTGTGTGGAAAGCCTGACATAGGTTATTTGACAATTTGGAAAATAAAGAACATATATTTGTATACTTTACTCTATCCCCAGCTAAATGGATTTGATTTTAAAATATTAGTCTCTTTACCTTTTGCAATTGTATCAAGAAAATTAATTTATCACACTTGAGTTCTCTTGAAAGGAGCTTAACCAAGAAAGAAAGATAAGATAAGAAAACTATAACCAAGAAAAACCAACTGGCAAACGATAAAACCAAAAAAAAACTCCTTCGATGTCCTGGTAAGCTTAAGGACTGCAGCGCTTGTGTATGACAATAAAATGATGATAAAGTGCTAACGAACTTGCATATAAAAAATGTTCGATTGCTCTAACAGATTTTGAAATTTAGTAATACTAGTTTCCACGGTAATCAATCACATTATATTCACAACTGTAAAAAAAAATTAGATTCTTAAATGACTTTTCACTCAAGTTCTCACAGCCTTGTGCAAATCGATGGGAAGAAGCATGATCAAAAGCCCATCGAATGAAGCAATACCAAATCCCACTCGGTTGTGGGCACCGATAATCAGGTTAGAGTGGACTAATGGAATTAATATTTAGGAAGAAAGCGAATTAATCGCTTAAAACTCCGAGTCACTTCATACCAGGTCTTCGTCTTGGTCAAATTCACAAATTCACTTTTGCAAAGTTTCATGGCAAACAAGCACAAGTGTCAAACGGAACACGATTGGATAGTAGACGTGAGACTTGTATGATCAACGAGCACTAGCGGTAAGTTTACTAGTAGCAAAAGTCAGCCTTACCTTGGAAACCCTGGTCGGAAAATTCAGTGCTTGAGCTTTGTAACATATGAACTCTTTGTGCCCAGCATCATTAAATGATCCGCAGGTGAAAGAATCTCCTAGAGCCTGTCCTAAGGAGATCAAACATTCCAGGTCGGAGAAAGACACATAACACATTCATTCGTGAGTCATTATGACTTTGTAGAGCCTTCTTGCAGAAGTGAATCGTTTAATAACGATAATTTCAATGTAGTGACATGTGGAAATCGATCTACATGAGTTTGAGTGTCCAAGGGTACTCTTCAGGCCGACCATGCTATGCTTCCTGCTGTGATAGATGCTTTAGATGCTCTTCTATCCAACAAGCCGACATACTTGAATATTTTGCTCAATATCATTTCGAATCATGATTTGAGCTTCTCATACTTGTTAAATATGCTATTGAACTTTTTTATCATGTTTTTTTACCTATCATCATGATGCCTTGCATTCTTTTGGTTAAAACAGGAGTTTTCATGTTCTTTGCTACCACCATAAATTTGTATCGATGTCATTCTACACAAATCCTCTCAGAATAGGGTGACTAATATGTTCCGAAAAAATCAACAATTTTTTTGATTTATTTCCTGATCATTTTTCTCATAGAGTTGATCTTTTAAACAATTTTAAGTGGAATACCTGGGTATTGATAACAACGTTTTCGTTTCTCGGCGTTCTCTTATCTGAAAAAATGAGTACGACTGCAATGAAAACAAAAAAATCTTTTAATCTCACAAAACAAATCTAGAAAAATGATACAGGGATCACCTTCTGCTGGAGCTTTTAAATGCTGGAGCAAAAATTAATACTACACAGCGTTATTCTATTTTCCAATTTCTTCCATGTAAAATTCGGTTAACTTTGTACATATTTGCATCCACATGACAATTTTCAGAGGTCCACATCTGCCGTCTAGTTGGTATTAGTGTTTGACCTACATATCACACTCCAACAAGCATGGTCACTGAGCTATTGGACCATCCGTACTGTAGAAGTTGATGACCAACTTTCAGTAGCAATCACACTCCCGGACTAATGGACTGTAACAGTTAATGAATATCCTCTAGATTCATCTCTAGAATTTGAGTTCGAGTAATGAAACGCAAATTCGAGTTTTTTATCTTCTTCTGATCAGCCATCACGTCTCTTCATGAGATATCTATCTATATATAGCTAAGGAATTTTAATTTTTTAATATTAAAAATACATGTGGAGAACAATCTGTTTTCTCCTGTGACCAAATGTATGTATATGTCAAATGTCCAAATTCCAATCTCTCGATGTAGGGTTTAATAATCTTATGTCCCTCGATGATCAACAACTCCATGCTGGGGAGCTGCTCCATCGGAGCGGGAAATTTTTCAAAATTAGAACAGAATCGAAGCTCTAAAGACTGCAGCTCCGTGAGCCGTACGAAAGCTTCGGGGAGTGAACGAAGTCTACCGCAATTTCTAAATGTCAAATGACGAAGCCTGGGAAGTTGTCCGAACGTTTCGGGGAGACTTTGGAAGAGGCAGCCTTCCAATTTCAGAACTTCAAGGTTTCGGAACTCGCTGATGGTTGTTGGCAAACATGTGAGAGGTGCTTTCAAGTCCAGAACAACCAATTGGCCCGCAAAACCTCTGAACACCAGGTCATAAACACTGTCCACTTTTCCACGCCATCGAAGAAGAACCAAGTTCTTTGGAAGCTTGCCACCTTCTTCATCCAACATCAACTCCTTCTCGGAATCCAAATATCGCAGGTTCTTCATCTGGCAAATATCTCTCCAGTTGAGGGGCATTGAGTCTTCAAGTCGTAGCGCGATGACCTCCTGCACCAAAACAACCAGGGGCTAGTTCACATCCCAAGCCACAGATATAATCCATGATCTAAACTTGACCTAGCAGACTTGTGGCATGTCATATGATCAGGGCCATCGAGTCAATGACATCCACCACAGAAAAGCCCAAATTCAGTGAGGAGGAGCTTCCGTAGGAGATCAAAGGCTCAACAGAAACCAGGAACATGACAACCTGTTGTTAAGCTGGGATGCTCGTGGACGGAAAGCAAACAAGACGCTGCTTGTTTATTCAAAATCCAGCTAGGTGATGTTCCTGGAAGTAAACTAGCGGAATCTGGGATATGGTTAGAATATGCAAAAATTGAACGAGGCGTAGGATAGTGAAACGATTGTGTGGGTCAGAGCTTCTTCACTTCCGCCTCGCGTCGACCAGTTGTAAAAATATTGTACGTTGGAGAGGTGTGCACCTTCGCCTAATTGTGAAGGCGTAGGGTTCACCGTGCCAGACTTGAGGAGAAGTACGGGGAAGTTGCAAGGGCTCAACGTGTCATCATAAGGCTTTATAAGAGCTGGGTCAAGATGGGCAAACCCGGTAACGATGTGTGGCGATTACGGTACTTGATGAATGACTCAAGCAGTTGGAGAGAGCAAGAATGGTTTCAATGACATAATGTAAGGAAGTTCGTTGGATCACTGAAGAGAGATTGTTGTACTCGTAAAACCAGTACATTGATTCTGTCAAAGATGTGCGAGTTATGTTTCTAAAGGAAAGGTTGCAATGTTATAGAAAAATATTGCTTAGTTCAAAAAGCAGAACGCCGATTGACAGTGAAGTGCTTCGAAAGACAGTAATGCAGGAAAGGCAGAGAATCTATTCAGAAAGTTTGTTGGGTTTGAGAAACCAATAGGTTGTATGACAGAAGGGCAATGAATCTTTAAAACGGCCATGTACAAGAAGTCAAGTGAAGAGAGTAGCGAAACAAAAACTGATTGAACAATGATGTGCCTCAGGTGTCGTGAAAGTCAATGGTCTACATCATTATATATCTAACATTTCCAAGAACTCTAAAGAGAAAACGGAACCTTGAGAGTCGGAGCTTTTGAACATAATTTCATACCTCAATATGCGTTTCCATACCACTGCTGGGTGAACAAGGACTTGTATCACTTGAATAGAGTTGTCGTTTTGCAATCCTGTCATCGTAGTTTGAGGAATTAAACATCGAGGGGACATTTTTCTCAGTCCAAGTCCTACATCTGCCACCTGTTCCCCAACCACAAGCCAGTCTAATTCCCACAGACCTCAACTGCTCATGCATTTGTATATGTTCTGCTTCGTCTTCATCGTAAACGAGAGATATATCTACCAGAGTCTGCCATCGGAGATGTTCGCGGCCATAGAGCACACGCCAGCAAGATTTAGCTTCTCGCAGGTTCCAGGTGAAATCGTTGAAGAAAGATGCAGCATCAAGGAATATTTCTTTTTCCTGACTACTTAGACGGTCGTAGCTCACTCTCAATTTTTTCCACAACTGTTCGTCCAAACCGTTTACGTTATCTGCCTCATCCAAAGCGTCGAGACATTGCCTCCATATGCTTTCACTCTCTCTCCTCCGCAGATACTTGCCCATCACCTCTAGGGTTAACGGTAGTCCGTTACATTTTGTGATGATCTTGTCTACACATCCTGTCAATGATGGATTCGGTTCTGTCGGATAAGGAAATGCGTAGCTCATAAATAACTCTTTGGAGCTCTTGTGATTCAAGAGTTTCACGTCGAACACGTATGCATCCGACCTGTTGAGAATGTCTTTATCTCGGGAAGTAACAATGTAACGACTGTTCGCACAATCATTCAACGAAGATATGTAATGGAGAACTTCAACATGGCTATCATTGTCAATATCATCCAGGACGAGAAGAAGTGTCTTCTGCCTCAAAGCAGTCAGCTTCCACTTCTCGTTTCCAATTCCTGCAACCTGTTTGCCATGGTGATACATAGACGAATACACTCCGCGTTTTATTGCCATGTAATCTCCTTTCAGCACGAAACAAGTGTACTCAAATTCAGCACACAACTCGTTGAACAACAGTTTCGCGAAAGTTGTTTTCCCTATACCGCCCATTCCGCAAAGACCCACTGTTTGAAATGTGCGTAAAATGTTTCGAACCTCTTCGAAGAGGTGAGAACGTAGGCTCATTGCCATCTTCGGCACACTCTGGAGAATATCAAGAGACCTCCTCCAATTCACCTGTATCATATCACAGTAGTCGAACGCAGTTTAGTTCTATAGGCCACGCAGAATTTCACTCAACTAGAATGGCCTCTAGCTTGAAAGCCACAATGATCTAGTTAACGACGGACGCCCACTGTAATAAACTCGTCCGGTTTCATGAACTTTCTTTGGCCCGCATACATCTAAAAGAGGGTCTCAAGGGCTGATCTTTTTTGAAGAAAAATAAAATCTGCTAAGACGGAGAAAATCTTCGTGTGAGCAACCTTATTGTCATCAATACTTTGAATGAACGCTGTCAGACGTGTGTAAGTATTTGAAGTCCTGCTCTCGGGCTGGCAGAGGGTGACATGATCCTCACGCTCCATACTGAAGTCACCGTACCGAGCTGAAGCCTCTTCTACTATCATCTCACAGCTAACTGCAAGATCATCTTGAGACCCCGCTTCCTATACTTCGGAAACAAGTGGGAACAAACCACTGGTCAGACTCGTCATTTGAAATCCTTCTATGGTGGATGGATTTCCAAAAAGTGAAACCGGAATTCAGCCAAGTTCATGAACCCCATCGAGATCTTTTGAAAATGAATCCAAACAATCTCATAAAAGTACTGGGTTTCGAACCAAGATATGTGGATGCAGAATTGAAGGCTATTGTTTCAGCAGGTTAAAATCAAGCCGATTACAATTAAGAACAAACATGTCACATCCTGAAAGCAAATCAGCGTCACACTCACGGTAATAGTAAACCTAGTAGGTTTCGATTCTCCGACTCCAGCAATGCTCCACTTGTAGGACAGCCGTAAAGCATCAAAATCTTGATGAAGGCGAGCTGATTGTGCGCAAAGCAGCTTCACATAGTCCACTAGAGGGCTAGCATCTTTCAGGTGTGTTCCATTCGGACTGAAGAAAGATGACATTCCGTGATGGGGCGTTCCATAGAAGAAGATTCCTTTGACGCAGTTCAGAAATCCAGCCATTTGTTCCTTAGAGAGGTGCAAGCTTTCGCTGAGGTGCGCTTGGAGGCACATTTGTTTTATCACCAAGCCTCCGTAACTGTGACCGACAAGTATAACTGGACGCAAGGGATCCTGCCCCACCTTTGCAGATATAAGATTTATCATCAAATTTTCGGCTGTGCAGTAGAGGTCTAATCTTCCATGCTCTGCCGATGTTGTGATACAAGCATCGTAATTGACAGACAGAATCCGAGCTCCAGGGAACTCTTCCGGGAGCCAGGTCATCGGCCATACTTCCTTTTGACAACCGCGTGACGTCCATGTTGATAAGTGAGCTACAGAGGTGTGTGACGATTGTAGGCCATGAAAGAGTACAACGTCCAGCAGTGATTCAACTCCTGGCTTGTGAAGTTCGTATACAGAGTCGCTTAACTGATATAACAGATGCAGATCAGCAATCAAACAACGTGGACAGATCTTACGTACTGCAGCTCTGAGATTCTTAGATTTCAAGAAATAATTGGGAATAGCGCAAACATTGATGTACTTTCCAGAACTGCTATACTGTAATTTGCATACATTATTGTGATTAGCTTACCCTTGTAGCGGCAGTGGCTGAACACGCAGGGGGCAGAGACATTGCATTTAACTTGCGTAATCAACGCCCGTCCATCCATCGCCCTAAAAGCACGATGAAGAGTAAGGAGAGTATGTGATACATTTACTTCTCCTCCTCGTCAGTAGACAAGTGCCAATATAAGTGCGAGAAAGTAACGTCGCTCAGAATGAACCTTGTATTGTCGCCGAATCGAAATCCCCAATCCCTCAATCTCCACGTTGATCGCTTTCAGGAAGCTCGCCTGCGGACGAAGAAGAGAAAGAGACCTCGCGGGCGAGGGTCGGTGGCGATTTCCTCTCCGGCATTCGGCTGCCCCGACGCGCAAGGACGGATGGGCCAGCCCGCGGTCGCTTGTGTTGATCTCGTCGCGGCCGAGAAGATTCGGCGTCGACGTTTCTGTCCACTCCTCGCCATTATTGATGATGACTCAGCACAGGTTGCAGAAAAGACGGCGTTGCTCCATGTTGATCATACCTTGAAAACTCTCGAGGCAACTGTTAGTTGATGAGCGCTTCATTCTTCACGGTAGCCGTCCATTCGTTTGGGTTTGAGAGCGAAGAAGTCCGTAACACAGAGCAGATTGGCCCTCGAGGAGCGGACGATCCAGTTCCTTCATTGGGAATTACACGTGGAAATCCCTGCCATGGTCGAAGTAGCTTAAGGCACTTTGTCGAGTCGTTAAAAAGAACAGATCGTGATTATGTACATTAAGTTGAAACAACCTCCCTCACTTATAACGTTGCAAGCGAGCGACAGTGCATGACCAGAATAAGAATGAGCAATGTTGGACTAGTCACCGCATCTCTTTGCACCTCATCTGGAGTTGACTGCTTACATACATCATCCCAGTTGCAAACAGTTCATGGTTTTACCTGCGTTTTCCGAGCCTTATGTCAACAACACATACCATAGCCAGATGACTTAACGCTCTACGATAATTGTAGCCTCTAGTTTTGTATCTAGTATCATAAACTCCCCATCTGGGCATCTCTTCCTGGGTACTTGCTGACATTTCTCCTCCACTCTGTTCCCCTGCTTGTTGGTTCCGTATCCGCTGCATATATGTTACCTCAGCGTCGTACACACGACTTCTACGCCCAACTACTGCTGTTTCACTGCATCCTACTAACGTAGGACTTGACTGCATTGTTTTGTCTTGGTTCAAGTCCTATTCGAAGAGGTTATACTCTTTTTGCTTCACATGTGCAATAATTGGATTGTGCTACACGGTATTGGCAACGTGTTTATCTCAGGCAAGGCTTATTGTTGCTCATAGTCAGTACATGTACTCGATCTTTTTATTTAACTAGATATGTTTATATCAGATAGTTACAGAATCTCGGTTACTATATTCAAAATTCAACGACTTGAGCAAGCCTTGCGCCAACAGTCAGAACAAGAAGTCATGGAATTGCTAAAGGCGCAGCTCTTTGACCAGTTTGTATTACACGTTCATGCAAATGAGACCACGTAAACTGACTGAAGTTTGTATTACGTAGAGTTGATTATATTTTGCGAAGCACAAGGAAGCTGCTCGTGCTCTTTCTGAAAAAGGGATTCGTAGCGAAGAGATGACATCCACTCCCAATGAGAAAAAACTACAAAGCTTTTAGTACGGTACGGTAGGACCTGTCAGCCCATTCTACTTCAAAAGAATTGGAAAGTTCTGAACAGGATTGACGACACGAGGGGGAGAAGAGAGAGAGTTGAGAGGGTTAGCATGCCATGATCATTGTTTCATACACTGTAATTTTATACTCTGCCTTATGAATATAAAGTTCTCTTCATTTGATATTATGTTGTTCAGTTGGTCTATGATGGATACTAGTTGGCTTCTTGCGATTGAGAAAGACAATGGGGGACATTTTACCTTTTCTATCAGAAGTGTTTACACTGCTTATTAGATCGACTGACATGGATATATGATAACATGATATTTTTTATATCAATGCCGTATTGATTTTCTATTAACACTTCGTGCGTTTTATTGCGATCTTTTGTCACATATATTATATTGCTATGAATATATCATTTGCAACAAATGATAAGCTCTTGAAAATGGAAAAAACAAGATTTGAAATCAAATCAATGCCACATTTACTTTTTGTCAATATTATGTGTTTTCATTTCAAATTTATTAAGTCATGAGAAGTATCTTCCTTTTGAAATACTTTTTGAGACAAGTAATAAAAATTTTGACATCAATAATAGTCTAGTTGTAATATTTAGCAGTCTTAATTAAATTGAATTATATTATATATATATATATATATATATATATATATAACAGTTCGTGTCACATTAGATTTGTGCTCCCATTTTAAATTTTGAAAAGCATTTATTTCAACTAAATACTGGAAAATCAGCTTATATAGTCTTTGCTTCCGTAGAGAAAAAGATAAATAGAATAAATAGATTGAAATACTAAGTTGAGCATCTTGTTCTTATATGTGACCAAAATGCCTCATCTTGTTTACTTAGGATTTTGTAATGAAGCAGTATACATTACAAAGTTTAGGGTTTGTAAAGCTCAAAGATGAGATTTCTTCTTCTGCTCGAAATGAAGAAATCTAGCAAGCCCATACATTTAGAAACTAAGTTATATATCCACATATAATTTCGGGCATTTAGAATATAAAGGCACTCTCGGCAACTGAATCTGTTCCAAATTCATCGATCTTGCTTATGGGAGTAAGAAAATGAATTGTGTAAATAAAAACCTATTCTAGGCTACGGTTCCCTTATGTGCATGTAATCTGCTGAACCTCAATACTCTTTGCCCATTCTTGCTACATATCATCGACTCCAATGCATCAGAGAGAATCCAGATGTGCACTCCGGATGAATGCTCACACTGAATGTACATTGAATTCAGAGCTTGTCCGGGAGCAGGTGTTGACCAGAATCATCACCGACAACTTAAAGCGGCTGTGATTGTTGACCTTGAGCAGAACTAGAAATGTGTACCAAATCGGGGAAAACAGGGCACATACTATCATGCAATACTTTCCATAGTAATCACTCTACTTGAAAAGCATTGCACTATATTGTTGTTATGGGTAAGCGTGCTCATGGACACCAGGATCGTCTGCTTGCATGAAGTGAAAGTCTTCGCCAATTCAGATCAGACTTCCAATAAGATGTGGTAAGAACGGAAAGCGTCCTCTGTATCTAGATTACTCTGCATCTTTGACGGCCCTCGGAAGCTGGAAATCTTCAAGTAAAGAGAGAAGTAAATAATGAAAATGGAAAATTCCAACCAGTGCTAAAACATTGCTACTTCTGTAACGGCGTCGATGGCAGTGATCCACTAATCAGCCTAATCATTGGAGCATGATGACTTCAGCTGAGTTTAGACTCTTTGATTACAACAAAGATGTTCCTGCGTGTGCCTTGTACAGGCTTTTAAAGAGGAATTTGATCTCACGGAACAATGTATTCAGCTTCCAATACTAGTGCAGCACAAAAGGTTCAAGTCTACAACGTGGTGACGCTTCACATCCAGATCTATGTCATACCCCAGGCTGCAAGCTTCATCAATGTCGTCAGTTTCTCCATTCATGTACAGAAGCGTGTCTATCCGGTTAAATTTTCAGAAACTGAAATGTTCTCCTTTGCGAACGAAAAGATTCAAAAATCACCTATGTCAAAACTTACCTATGAACGGTCGATCATATCCCTCCAAAGTGTAATCATGTTGTAGGTTCCATGAACGAGCATCGTCTGGCTAACTAGAATACCTTGTGTCAGGTGCAAAGGCTCAAGGACATGATGCCAGATGATTCGCGATTCCACGGGCTGAAGTAACACGAGTAACACACTCCGCTAAAAATGAACTCCACGGCTGATCAATCCGATCAAAGAAGCTCTTGCAACATCTGCTCCCGCTCCATCTGCTCTTGTGCCTGCATACGGTGGACTCCAGATTGCTCTTCGATGAAGTTTGTGAGATCTTGGTATAATGAAGACATTGGGCTGATTGGTCTGATGACTGTGAAATGATCGGCTGCAGCGGTGTACATTTTGTCGGTGTCAGTTCGGCATGCAGCTTCACATACCACCACTTTATTGTAGCCCTGCATATACCGTGGGAACATCAGACCGACAGTGGTACGGACTGAGAAGTCAGTTGATTCATGTGGAAGCTTGAATGGATTGGTTTGGGAAATCTTACCCATTGCATAGTAGGCAGACTTTCAGCAATCGTATTTACTCGTAGTGGTGACACAGAGGAACTACGCCATACTCGAAAGCGGTCATTCAGCAGAGCTGCCTCCGTGCTCAGAGTTTTCAGAAATTCAAAAGTTGGACTCACATTGTACCTCCCTCTAGTCTGGACGAAGTCAGCAAGTCTGGTGCCCTGTAAAGGAGGAGAGTAAAAGCACAGACCTTTCACGCTGTCCAGAAAGCTCTTGATGGTCTCGTACTTCCTGACTTCCGCATGTCCGTTCGGTAATTTCATGTTTTCTATCATTCTCTTCGACGCATCTACACAGCCTTGGGAATGGAGAAGCAGCTGCTTGATCACAAGGCAACCCAAAGAGTGTCCCACCAGAAACACTGATTGTTTGCCCACCATGGGCACGAGTTTTGTTCTCAGAATATCTTGAATCAAATTTTCTCCGAGGTTCTGCATAGTCATTCTTCCGGTCGTTGGGGTCTCAGTTATAGAGGAGTCGTACTTGATTGATAGAATTCTTGCTCCAAACTCTGGGCCCAGCCATTTTTCAGGCCAGCAGACCGGCAGCTCCTCTGCTTCGTTTGGGTCTCCTTGTAATTGTAGCTCTGATTTACTCAAACTCATCCAGGACTTCCAGTAGGCTTGGTCGTAGGCCTTTGACTCAAAATGAAGACCATGAAAGAAGATTATATCCATGGATGGTGCTCCTTGTGGTTCGTACAGCACAAACAGAGCTGAGTTGATCTGCCACACCATTACACAACGTTGATCATACTATGTCTGACCTCAATCATCGATCCAATCGAGTTTTGGTGCTCAGATAAGGAAATTGGGACAGATAGATATTGGCAACTTGGTAATCAAACTGAATTGTGGATACTGAGCGCTTACCGGTCTGAAGTGAAGAGCTGCCATGGTAAGAGAAAGAGCGAGATGTTAAACTGATCTTCTCACCATGTTAAGCACTAGGACATACCTGCAAGAATTTAGTTGGCAATTGAATCTCGCCAGTAGACTTGTTAATGTATGTCAAATCGGTCTATATCACACGCGTAGAAGTAAGGCTTTACTCATCCGAAGAATTCATTATCAAACTTCAACATAGAGATTGCAAGCACTCTTACTGACAACCCCGAAACCTTGACATCTGATCGTCAGTGCTTTTGACCTTGAAGAACTGTTGACAGATCTCTAGAGCAATTGAAACTCAGCTTTGTCAGTCAAGCGAATCGTATCTGTCGGAACCGAATTCCATTCCCAACTGGGATCTCTTGAAGCAACCACAAATCTTTTTAGATCGATTTAACTTGACTCGACTTGACCGCCAAATCACTGATATCAACGCAGGGAACACTTTCTGGCATATAATTAACTCAGTCATGTCATCAACTCAATCATCCGTCTTGACTCGTCGATGAAATGTTCTTATAGTAGTGTTCTTACACGTCTACAGAAGCAGAAGAGTATGAACTTCATTGACTATTCGGAACTGTTAAGATCGAGCTGCGCACGATTCGATAGCTTGAAGGCACCACTTTTCACTACAGCTGATTTCTGCAGCTAGGCTGCAGTCAAAGACACCGTGTTGCTCAAGGTTGCCCGTGGTGAGTTGGGACAACTGTGTTCTCTTTTGTCTTTCTCGTAACCCCACGATCTGTTTGTAACCGTTATCCACACTACTTTGCAGAGCACAGTCACGGTGTGAACTTCAAACCTCCAACCCTCCTTGTTTTGTGTCACCACCTTCATGTGGTTTTCTCTTTCACGTGGTCATGTGAGTCTGAAGCCAAACGCTTTACTGACCAGGTACGACAAGTGGCCAGTCAGCGCAAGCCTTGCTCCTCAGTCTAAATTTCGAGCAGTGCAGAATTCAGATTCTCCAAGCGAATTTGTTTTCAACAGTTGAGTCATCTCTCGCTCACTCCCCCAGATAAACCCCATCGGATGTTCGTGCTAACACTCTTCCGTGATTTGAGAGGCAAGAATACTGCTCACTGGTGCCCTTTGTTCAACGTCGGCGAAAATACATGTCCCCCGGACGGGATCTGTTGATATAATTGTGTGGCATGATGATGACGCACCATAAAGAACTGACGTCAGCTGTTTAGAGCAATATCAGGATGGAACTCCTTGCACGCTGGCATTATCTACTGTAACAAAGTACTTTGTGCACTCGGCCTCCAGTGTGGCCGCCACTAGCAGGTATTGATGTTGACATGAACTTGATACAATTCATGTCAACATACCTCTCAACCATCCCAGTAATTGTTAAGTCCGCAGCTCACATCCGATGGACATTACCGGTTTATAGAGCGTTTACAGCATAGAGACTTAGCCTGGGACAATCAGGCTCCACAATCTGCTAGATAGAATTGCAGCCTTATTACAAATTGTTGTGTTGAGATCATATTCTTCGAATGATTTGGTGCCGTGTTGAACAACAACTATTGCAACTACAAATTCTCTCCTACACTCCGTCTGCAAAAGGACGTCAGTAGAAATTCTCCTTTGACCACCAGTTATACTATGTCCAGAAAATATTTTTCACCAGAAGATATGTCTTCCACGTATAGATAAGCTGAAGTTTCGTGTATTCAGATCTGTCTGAAGCAGCACAGACCATCTCTTACCTGACACTCTCTCTTGTGGATCCATGGACGAGCAGTCCTTAGGTAACCTCATGTTTACATAGCTGCTCCATGTCCTACCTCAGTAAGCTCTAGTCTTCAACAAACCATTGATGGCTCTGATTCAATTAGCTTAAAGATTCAAGAAAGTTTAATGTTCATTTGACCTGCTTTAGTCTTATACTTAGCACGGAAGTTGTGAGGTCTTTCATTTATGCTCTCAAGTCAATAAAACTGGAATCAACATAAATTCACAGATTTAGATCTGAACGATGGAGGAGCTTCCTTCCTTCGAGATCCCCATCTAAACAAATCATGTGAGTTCATGCTTTACATCGACTATTCCTGAATCTAGACGTAAGGAGTAGCGCTAAATATCTGATGAACTTTAACTATGAACTTTTGGGCTCGGCAGACATGTAAAGAACTGGTTCCTCTCATGAAGTATGGAAGTGGCTCCTCTTGTGAAGGCGGTGAGGCTTACGGCCTGGTTGGGAAGACCTCGTGTTAAAGGTTAGGATTTTGGCCCAAGGTCATTTGAATTGCAGTGTATCCGCACCATCGTTGCGAGCAGGTCATTCCAGTTGAAATGCTATAACAGAGTAGAAAATCATTTGATCTCAGCACCTCCAATCGAAGCTCTCCGGAATTTCCAGAATGTGAGAACTTCCTGAGTGTTCAAAAGCTGCCAAAAGCCCTTGACAAAATTTGAGAATTTCAACGACCCCATGGACAAGTGTGTTTTACTTCCTGAAATAAGATGACTTGTATGGCTGGTGAACGTGACCTTCAACATCTTCTTGGACCTCAACCTCTCATCTAAAGATGGAACGAACGAGATTCTATAATTTGCAGCTGTGATTTGTCAAACATTCAGGAACCGGTCTGAAACAGGAGGGATGACAACAAAAGTTTTTTTTGAGGAAAGTTTACTTTCAAAACCTTCAAAGTTTCCTCAGGCCTTTATTTTCATGTTCGATGAATTTCCATAAATGTGACTTGTGATGCCTATGATGCATTCAACATACTCTCATGAATCGAAAGTGCATCACTGGTCAAGCTTCGTTTTGCGATTCCAGGTGAGAAAAGAATCATATTTATGACTCGAGAAGATTCCTAATCACGTCTTTCGGGTTCTCTTGAAGGTCGGTCTCTTTTGCGTAGACATAGTGGCAGCTCTAGCTCTGAATGGGGACTGCGCACCCGCTTCGCTTTGAAGCATGGAAGCAGCGTCTGGTCTCCTTGTTTCGTCAACTCCAGCATATTCCTCAATGAATCCTCGAAGAGCCTCGTATCTGTTGTCTACCTTACTCGGCGGCTTACACACCGTAAAGTGGTCGGCTTGAACTTTAGAAAATCCATCACCGTCGCAGCGTGAAGATGCTTCTTCCACCACCATCCCTACGTTCAAGCCCTGAAATGGCAAGTTGTAGAGATTACTGAAAGAGGTCATAAAAAGCAACGAGAGACTTTTCACCTCAAACTAGATGGAGGATATTTTGGGATTGTCGGCGGAAGGCTTACGAGTTTGCAAGTCGGAAGCGCCTCGCATATATTGTATGACCCCACGTTTGCCTCCTGACGCCAACAACGGAATGCCTCGTTCAGTCCCTCTGTCTGTTTACTAAGCACGAGTAGCAAGTCCAGCACTTCACTGTTCGCGTCGGGAATTTTGGTCGCCCAGCTCGCCAAATTTGCCCCGTGGTGTGGAGTGGAATAGAAGAAGGTGCCCTTGACGTTGTTCAAGAACCTTTCCACCTCTCGGCGACTCTGGCCCTCCTCCAGTTCTGCCTTTCTCCTCCGAGCCGAAGAAATGAATCGTTTTATCATTATACCTCCCAGGCTGTGTCCCACCAGAATCACCGGGCAATTTTGGCCGACCTTCGGCCCGATGCCAGAAGCGTTCAGGATGATGTCTGCTACAAAATTATCCCCTATGGCCAAGACGTCCTGTTTACCAACGCTTCTCCCCCGGAGCAAGACTGAATCGTAAGTGACAGAGAATATGCGAGCGTCTCCCAGGTCCGGCCCTAGCCACTTCTCTGGCCAGCAGATGTCTATCTGATCGGCACCATTGTCTGCTTGCGCCTTCGATGTCCAAGTCTTCCAGTAGGCATTGTGATAATCGAGAACTTGAAGCCCATGGAAAAAGATGATGTCCACCGTGGGGTCTTCGTATGCCCCATTGCTGGATGCGAAGTCGTATAGCATATAAAGTGAGTCGTTGATCTGCACATTTCATCGATCGAGTACGACCAAATGACTTCCAATTTCCATCATATGCCATCTGGCCACGAAGAGCTTCGATGCGAGATTCGTCTCTAGCTTAGAAATTGCTATCAGGTGACACTCGTGCAAGTGGAAGTGAATCATCCTGATCACCTACCTTCCTATGCGCACTCCTATCCGGTGGAATCGCAGGTTGCCAGAAACGGTTGGAAACTCTTCGAGCTGTACACAGCACATCCACAGCGAGTCAGTATCTACATGACAGGACAGCACTCACAATCAGCAAAATATGTGATTCGGAACAATCTACAACTACGAGATTTTCAATGAAGTTCGAATTGAATGAGTACCTTACCCAAGAAATTCAGGGCATCGTACAGTACATGACAGCCGCAGAGGACCATGTTTTCAGCATCTATCGAGTCTGCTGGCTCTCGAGCTCAGTGGGCTGGCCTGGCTGCATAAAGATAGCACCTTGTTACATTCTTCGAACTCATAGATTCAGCTTTGTTGCAAATCCAGGAGGGGACTCTGATATTGTGCACTCTATGAGCACTAGCTCTCCATCCAGACTCTTTCTGAAATGTTTCTTTCCTCTGCAAGACGCCAGTTTTTCATTCACAGACTGATCGCATCAAAACCGCAAGGCAATTTTGTAGTCTGATTTTGTGTAGAAGCGAATGGTCATTCGCTTCTACGTGTGGATCTGGTTTCGGTTCACACCGTCCGAAATGCATGCGAAGCTCTTCACCTTTGACATACATAGCCTCATCTGATCGTGATCACTGAACAATTGTTCACATTCATCATCTTCAGCAACGGAATCCGCGTTGTTGCTATCTCGAGCCAGCAGTCGAGTTCAAATTTCTGATCCGAGAATGTTGGAAATCATCAAGCGACAAAATAGCGTTGAGGTTGAATGCTCAGTGCTCCATCGACAAAGGGTTATCATTCATCTGCATTCCTTTTGCAGGGACCAGATCAACATAGTTCCGTATTTTCGTCATTATATCGCATCTTATGCACACTGTATCTTATGCTAACTTTTCCACATCTTTAACTGTTGACACGATCTAGTGTCGATATCGCAACTTGAATCCTCATGGGGAAACTCAATAGCACGATGAGGTCACCATGTCACTTTGTTTGGTACCTTCCCGACACTACCACCGGTGATTTCTCCCCTATATGGAATTTTCAACCTTCGCATAGTATTGCCTCACGATTTGTCCCACGAGGAGGCTCATCACTATTTGCCCTGCGTGCACGAGTGTATGTCCTTAAGAACCATTGTTTGACAGCAGCCTAGAGGGGGACTTCATCTAATGTACTTGTACAAAATCATTGTTCACATTTCAACTTCACATTTGTGTCTTCAATAGTAGGTACTAGTGTCCAACATGGTCAAGGCCAAGTTCATCACTCGATCTCACCATCTATTCTGGTATGCTCCGCTCATGTGGAGAAATAGTGCTTGTGATCATTTTCAGACTCGTGTGCCACTGGTCTCAATTTCATCTGCTTCGTTTTATCCACTGAGAAGAATCAGGTAGCAAGATACATGTGGAACTCAGAAATTGATTAAATCAAATCCACTCAGGAAGAAGCACAAATTGTGCCCTACTTTATGATGACGTTTAAGCAGCAGAGCGGACCTCTGGAAGCTTGTATCAGTTTCAACGCGAATATATCAGCTGAATTGAGGTAGGCTTATTTGCTCAAGCTTTCATGCAAAACCTTCTCTTAAGTTTGAATCATTTTGCCCGACCTCCAGACTCGTAGATATTAAGGTTTTTTACAGCTTCGGGAAGAATCAAATGTCTATCGTCAATTTTGGCTACTTCAGCTCCTACTTCGAAGCACAAAAGCGAGATAAAGATACAAAAAACTACACAAAACCAGCAGGGAGGGAGGACACAAAGAGTTCCTCAAAAGCAGGATATGTTCTCATAGCGCGGGTTAATTGGAAAATTCATATATCGACCAGAGACGTCTTCACAAGATAAAGCTAGAGACGCAGAGTTTATCATTGAGACAGTGCCTACGTTTGGCTCCGAAGGTAGGCTGAGGGATTGGAAGAGCACTTTGTGGATCCACCATCTCAGTAAGGTTTTCAAGATATAAGACCGACAACCAAACAATCGAGAGTGTTCTCTGAGTAAAAAAAGTGAATGTGGCTTGGCTGATATTCAACATGTTGACATGATTTACAAAGTCAGTTGTATATACATGGTGGAGGAGAGCAAATGTAACTACCAAAACGTCGACACATGTGCGATTAGTGCAGGAAAAAAATCAACTCGGAATATTCAAACTCCCGCTCCGGTCCAGAGTCTTGGGGAGTCCCACATTAGCGAGAAATGGTTCCGAGAATTAATAGGTTGAAGTCATGTTAAACACTCAATTATCTTCTCCTTGCACCAACCTTGCATACACACTTTCGTAGGCGACCGCATTTCACACTTTCAGTCGGCTCAACCTCCTCTGCTATATTGCACATTACATTCGAAATAGTGATCTGGACTATCAAAAGTACAAAACGAGTGCTATCTTTTTTAACTTTTATATAGCCATGAAACAAAAGAAGCTGATTCTGGCGATGTTTCTCGCTGTTTATGAAATGCATTTGGTGTAGAGTGCCACGTGGGGCACAAGAAACTTATGTACAGTTGTACGGAGGAGCATATACTCCAAGACTAAAGACCCGTAGAAGAGAATTGTGGCTGTCATAAGCTCCTATCGTGTCACATTTCAGGGGATCTAAACATCGTAATCTCGCTTTGATCCTGAAGCTCACACCGGCTCTCACAGATTTCTGGACGCCCAGACTGTTATTCCCCTGTCTCTACAAAACCTCATGCTCCTTGCCAGAGGAAGTTCCTACCCCTGTACAAATTTCAGTACTATATTATTTCCGCCCCTGAAATGATCAGTCTGCTGGCTGCTCCGAGTGCTCAGAACACCTACAGCTACAAAGTAGTAGCCATCTTTTGTGAGGTTTCGGTATGGAAGGATCGGTTCAGAGAGGTGGTTTGAAAGATCCGTATACACCCTCACTCTTCTCGTGATCCTCAGCTACAAGTTTAGGCGCTCCAGACTCAACCGTGGTTCCTTTCTCCCACGCGACTTGTCCCTTGTCCAGAGCTTCATCAGTAGAATATAATTTGTCAGCGCTGTATGGATGGACTTTATCTGTTCTATCCTTTTGGGCCTCCTTTTTGCTCACGGCCCAGTCGCCCAGGACCCCAGTCATCACATCCTCGTCAGCCTCACCCTCGGGCTGTGAGAATTGCGGGTCGTCTTCCTTCACCACACGTCCGGCTGGGTGCTCGGAATCAGCTACCAATCCGCGATGCACTTCTTCATCGATGCCATGATGCATTTCGGCACCGTAATCCACTCGGACGGCCGGGTGCGGGTCCTCTTCGGATCGAGACTGAGACCTTCGAGTGAATTCGCCTGCCGTTTCTCGAACGGCATCGTCGCTGTTCATCCCCAATTTGCTCTTCGTTTCCGCGTCCGCTGCTTCGAACGAAGCTCCGCCCTCGCCTCCCACTGCCTCCTCGACTTGCTCGACTTTCGATGCGGCCGCCCTCTTGGAGCCTCGCAAAAATTCATCCTGACGCTGTTCCTGCTCGCGATAAACAATTACGTGAGAATTTCATCCTAGATACTGCAACGAGCACGGAGCACGGGGAGGCAGGCAAATTTCATGCATCCATGGCAGATACACCACCACCTGAGTCAGAATCGTAGAATGAAGAGAATCAAGCAACATGAGCATGTTCAATTTGTGAATGCATTTTCGTGTCCGGCCCAACGCTCGAGGGCTATGTACCGAGTCAAAAACACAGCGGTAGGCCGTCCTCCTCGGTGCAAGTCAAAAGCCGTAGAATCCCTCGACTGACTCTAATTTGAAGTTGCATGGTCATACCGAGAAGTCTGTCGAGAATCTATCGAAGGTTTGGATTCCGAGAGCAGAAGGTCCATGAGCGTTGACAGTTGAATGTTATGCTTTTGATCCTGACGAGAATGCTGGCTCCCGAGCCTACTCACCTCAATCCATTCCGGGGACCCCTCTGCGTTGGTAAGAGGGCTGCGCACTCCATGCTCGGCCGCCCGATCGCCCGGTCGAGTTGTGATTCCCATCCGCCGGACTCCACCAATTCGCCATGCTTCGGTCACCGCTATGGGCTCCGCCTTCGTCTTTCCGAGTCCGGAATTCCTCCTCTCGACCCGAGATGGTGCACCGGGAACACCAGATCCTAGGACCGGGGCGACCCAGCTGCTCTCTCTAGCTACGAATCCACCGGACAATCCAGAGATCTCACGCCGGGCAGCGATTCTCGTCGCGACGGATTGCAGGTCCTTGAGCCCTCCATAAGCTCCAGAGCACAGCTTCTTCCTGAGTGATTGCATGACTCAATGTCACGTCAGTCAGAAGTTCACGATGTCCCGAGGCAACAAAACTCAGAGAGGTCCTCCAGATGGTTCGCGAGGCAAGTCCCTTGTCAAATCAAGCTCGAGCCGTCTCTCCTTCCACCGTTCCTCCCCCTGCCGATCGACCGAAACTTAAACCCTTGGACGCACGACTTCTAATCGCCTCCAACCCTTCCCCGGGCTCTTCCTCCCTCCCTTTCAGAAATTCCTCCGTCCACGAAATTTCGACAACTCCCTGCCTCACACACTCGTCAACGTTGAGAACAAATTTGCAGAAACCGCCTCTCTCCCGAAAGCTTCGAATCCCCAGAGCGGAGCAGTATCAAACTCACCAGTCTACAGCTCCTTGAATCAAACAACTCTCCAGATTGGCCTCAAATCTGTACAGGCCTAGCCTCCTTGAGTTCCGAGAGCTCCCCGGCGAGGTCGAGGGCTTGTCGCTGTGCATCGGGGCCGCCTTCGTGCTGAATTCTCTGGGAATCCAGTTGTCGAGCGACGTTGATGATGAACGTTGAGGGCGATCGAGAGCAGACTGGCTGCTGCGTTGCGGATCAGTACGACAAGTGTATGTGTGACCTGCCCGCCCTGCCACGTAGGGTCCAGTTGTACCTACTCGTCCAGCCCTGCTGTGGCAGATGGCCAGGTGTGCCTCCAAGTGGAAGGAGCCGGGGTCTCCAAAACGCTCTCTATCTGGCGAAAATGTTCCAACTCAGCGTCTATTGTTTGGAGAGCCAGGCCTTCCCTCGACTTGACTCCAGGCGTTCGTTGGGTCTCTTTTAGCGGTCCAAGAGCAAACTAGAGTTCGCCGCCACTCCGTTCCATCGCTCGATTCCCATCTGTCCCTCGATGGTACATCCCGACCTCACAGCGGGTGCATTTTGCAGTTACGGCCGGCACTCTCAATTATTTAATGTATTCGCTTGCAGGGCTACGAAGCAGACGTGGGGTAAAGTACTAATGAAAGTACCCAATCATGCCCCACAAGGATCAAAAGAAACGAGTAGACAGCGCTAAGCCACAATGGTATCGCATGGGCAAAGTAATAGTAATACTATAATGGAAAACATGTTATCCATATGTTTTACAAACAACTTAGCATCATACTTTGCATTGTCACCATAAGTAAAACTATCAAAGGAATCAGAATTCTACATCGTTAGTCTATGCAATGATGACGAGACTATCTCTTACCATTTACAGTAAATTAAAAACGTGTGTATATATATATATATATATATATGAACATAATTTGAAACTTGTAAAACTTATATAAAATGTAAAACCCAAATCTATTGATCATATTCGCCGCCCATGATGCGTAATCACCCGTCTATCTATGAGGAAGAGAGTTGAGCAGACAAGCGAGTGATTTTTTCTCTCCAATGCAGTCATGCTTTGAAACCAGTCCATGTAATCGAACACATGCCGAAGTGAAACACGTTCGAAACACACAGCTCTGTAATCACATTAATAGCACAGCGGTCCTCTTATTTCATGCTTGAATGCCAGATGTCTCAGGTGCAGAATCTCAATCGCCACGTGATCACGGGCTCATAGTGACTTATTTATGGCTGAAGAACATACTGCGTCCTGCTGAACGGGAAGAGATATCCAATATCACTATTGTCGACAATGCATTCTACTTCTGGGAGAAGGTATTAGTGCAGAAAAGCTGAGGCAATACCTGAGTCCAAGGACAAATTTGAACACTGAAATTAAACGTCACGGAAGTTGTCTGTCTCACGAAACGTCAATAGAGTTCTACCGATAGAGAATATGGAGGCCAAATGCAAGAGGCACACTTGAACACTGTGCAGCAGAGCACCATCGAAATAGAAGTGGACCCTTTTTGAATAAAAACCATCTGGGGACGGATCCAGAGAATGTCAATAGAGTGACGAGGCAAAACAAAGTAGAGACCCTTATCCAAGAACTAGCTCCTTGAGACAGGTAACTCCACATGGAGAGAAGATGGTGGAGGGCTAAATTGTTACCCACCCAAACTGACGGCAACCAACCAGATCACCTGGAGAGGATAAAGCACAAAGCGGAGAAGTTTGGGCTGGACCGGCAAGAGAGCAAAGATGGATTCGACACCACATGGGTGGGGACCAGATCTGCCCCTAGCTGATCAACATCTCAAGGGAGGCTACGGACTTTTTTTTAGCACCAAATGTGTTTTCACACTATGCATGACCAGCCTCTCTATGTAGGGCGGATTCCGATTTTCAGTATCTCAACAAAATTCTCAAATCGAAATACGAAATATACGAAACTTGACAAAAATCTCTCATGTTTTAGGCCAAATTTGACGGCGCTGTAATATATCTTTGAGGGAGGTGAGTGTTATTTTTTATTTGTGAATAGACTTTTCCCATTTCAGCACTCTGAAATCATTCTCCGCAGGTTCTGAAATGGTCAAACTAATCCTCCGAAAAACTGCATGAGTTGAAGAAAACTATTCTTAATATCTCGAATCACACTGTTCAGTCAACAGATTTTTGTGAACCGAGAACATCAATTTTGTAATGTTATTGTTTCACAAAAACCAAAAACTGCTTGTGTTATTTCATCATTTAATCTATGTCTTTTTTATCCCAAGAAACTTTGAGATATTTTTTATATGTTAGAACTAATTGAATAATTTCTCGTGTTTTCAAAGTTAAAAAGTGAACCAAGTAGACAAAATACTAGAACTCGTCTGGTTGAACTCATCAGGTGTCACCGCAAAGTTTTTGTTGAGTAAATACGTTAGGTTCTCTAGAAAAGCCACCGAGATCAACAAAAAAATTTTCACAAACGATCACCGCAAAGTTTTGGCAGAGTATTTCCTTTAGTTTCTATAGTAAAGTCACCTAGATAACAAATTATTTTTTTTGGAAATATCAAAATATCAGAAAACAAATCTCGAGCAGAGTATAACATCGAGTAACCAAACCCGAAAACCGAATTGTATCCGCCCGTACGAGTAGGGTATGGACGTGTACGGTCCTTGATCTGCGGGCATGGTTTAGATACGGTTTTGTTTTTGGGTTGACGGGTAAGTTGTGGTATCTATATATAATATGGAGGCGCAAAATTGCTGACGGCGGCCATAAGCAATTTTGGTGGCATCATCAGATGTGTGGCGTACAAGAATCATAAACACGGAGTAAAGAAAGAAGATTATTAAAATAGGCTATTAACTATATCATGTGAATTGCTATAAATCAGATCGTCCCTGTTCGCAATGGAGCAATCGGCATTGCTCACCTATACTATAAAAAGATATCAAACGACTTTGCGACGGTGCGTTCATTCCACATATCGCAATCCTGATGCAAGCTAACTCCTCGGTCAAGCTCAAGAATGTCAATGCTCTCAAGGCCAGAGTCTAGACCGTCCTACTCAAGCCGATGCTTAAGTTCTTCGGACGAAAGGCGCATAGCAATTGGCACAGGTCATCTGTGTGAAAGCAATTCTCAAACGTCGTGGAGCTCGCCACCAAGAAGCTCGTCAAGTTCAATGATTCAATCTTTGTCGCCTGTAACACATGCATGTTGGTGTACGTGTTTGATTCCAAGAACGGCACGTCGACACTCGCTAAACACGTATGTTCCACAATAATCAACAACTAGTTGTTGGCAACTTTCACAACGCACAGAGCACTGTGGTACCCCACTTTTGGTATTTTTGCGGAATTTAAAACCTTTTTTGGAAAACTGTACCGCGGCAACAGTGTAAATAGCCATCGGTGCATCAAAATAGAGTGAAACTGGATGATCTCGGAAAATCTCGAAGAATCTCGTAGAATCCAGGAGTGGGGCGCAACGTCTCGGACAGACGCCGCCCTAAATGACGGGCTCTGAAGGAGTACCCCTTCGGCGCAAGGCGCGTAATCCGCCTTCGGTGCTATGCCTTCGGCGCTAGAGAAATCCCTCAGAATCTGATCAATTCCCAAACGCCTTGACTTGATTAGGGTTTCGTTGGAAAGAACTTGACGCGCTGATTCTAACGAGCCCAAGAACGCCTGGAACGGATGAGGACTCAGGGAATTGTGACGGTCGAAAGATACGAACATCTTCGCCTACGCATAGGCGAGGGAAGTTCGCCTACGCATAGGCGAAATAGGGTTTGACGTCGGCGGGATGCCCACCGAGAATGCCGCCTACGCATAGGCGGGGAGGATTTGCACCTACGCATAGGCGAACGGGAATCGCCTACGCATAGGCGCTTCGGCGTCGGCGGGAAGTCCGCCTTCGGCCCTAGAAATCCGCCTTCGGAGTTGGAACTTGTACGGCGCCTTCGGCGCCAGCGCATCATGGATGGGCGAGGACCCAACGGAGTAGTAAAATCCGTACGGACTGTACGGACGGAACGGATGAATGCGCCTTCGGCCGGTCGGGATTACGGAAAAAAGAGCGCCGACGGAGAGGCGAGAGACTTTGACAGACTGGACGGAGTCCGTTGACCGCGGTCAACGCCTTCGGCACAGCCGCCTTCGGTGCTGCGCCTGCGGCGAGTAAACCTGCGCGGACGAACGTCCTGTGTGCGGACGGAATTCGCCTACGCATAGGCGAGCGCCTACGCACAGGAAAATGAAGTTCTGCGCCGGCGGAAACTCCGCCGGGGATTCCGCAGTACGCAGAAGGGAGTTCGACTTTTGTCCCATACGCGGACGAACGCCTTCGGCGGAGCGGGACTAGCCAAATTGAAGTACGAAGGAGTGTAGCGCGTCGGCGAGAAATCCGCCTTCGGCGCTGCGCGCCCATGGCCGCGGCGTGATACGCTGGCGGAGTTCAAATTACCAATTCAAGCGTGTGAGTGAAGTCGGCGTCGGCGGAGTGTGAAGCCGCGCGTGAGAGAGAAGGCCGTTATACCGCGGAGCCGGCACGGCCATCAAGTGATTCGACCCTTACGACCGAGAGCCGACCATGACTTCCTACGAGGAGACAGAGGACGCCCCATTCTTGAATTTGCGATTTCAATTTCTGGTGCGAGCTGCGCGCGTCCACCTGCTAGCTGAGAGACGTTCTAGACATCACCGCGCGGAGAGTTACTCGGTGGCTGAGAGAGAATTGAGTGCGCGACAGTTGGAATTGAGAGAAATTAGAGTTTGTAGAGGAGGCAGAAGCGGGAGCAAGAGGCTCGGGCAGAGCAGAGAGAGAGTTGCGCGAACCAATTTCAAGAACGCAATGTCAAAATCGATGAGGCTGCGGATGGTGCCACTCAAGCTCCCGCAGAACGGGTTGCGTGCTTTTGAGGAACGGCTGATTGCAAGGAAACTCGAGTTCTTGCTGTGGGGATGGAATTACGTGTGCGTAGACATGGTGCGCGAATGGCTGGACGAGGAACGACCACCTACGCGCGGGTTACGTCCGCACGTAGATAGATGGACTGTCTGCGATTGGGGACAGGCATTGGGGAGGTGCGCAGGTGAGGACGGGTACCTCCTATTTGAGAGTGAGAGTGTCAAGGTAACGAGACAGGACGAAGCCTCCTTCGTGGAATTATTCAAGCGGGAGAGGTCTTCCAAAAACG